AAATATTACCAGTAATTCTGTAATTTTTTGGCCAGTACTTAATTTCTGGTGAATACTGATAATAAAATCAATGTTAAATATTGATAGTAATTAAATACTGAGAATTATCATGCGAAGATAAAAAATAAGAAAATCATAATGTTTACAGAAATATACTTATATTCCTAATTTTCTCATGTCTCATAAACTACTAGATATCGAAGGTTGTCAACACATTTCAAACTTTCATGAATTCTCCTGCGATAATTTCGATCCCAAGCGGTAGAAAAACACCGCACCATCCATCTCCTGACCGCACTAAACTGTTGCTTAACGTGACGGATCGAGCGCGCACGCGGTGACTCTGATGACTCCAACGATGTTCTTACAATTCATGCTTATATAATGTATCCTTATAGTGTTCACAGTATATTATAACATACCTAGCAAACACCAAATAATAGTTATATAATTTTTACTTGTTGTTTATTGGATAATTTGTTGATAGATATTGAAACAATGCAACATTCGATATGCGATGAATATTGATGTAATGTAGTGAACCAGTGATAATTACTTGTACATTTTTAACAAAATGTTATAATGATTAATCCAAACAAAAAAAATTAAAAAATTAAAGAAAACCCATATTAAACAAATCGAATTACTGAATTTTGAGAGAAACTTTTAAAAAATATTATTTAAAACAATAGTGTTGTTTCATCAAATGACATGGTTTCCTTGAACGAAATAAAAGTTTTATTTTCATCATTTTAAAAAATGATATTTCGTTTAAGAATATAATATTTTAATGAAATAAAAAAGAACCACAAAATTAAACAAGTACGAATATTAAATCTAAAGAGATTATTTTCTCCGAAAAAACGGTATAACCCTAACAGCACGGGGACGTTCTGAATAGATCGCAATACGTATATTGCGATCATCTCAGAATGTTCTCATATGTACTGCGATCGAATGAGTACGTTCTGAATACACGCGCGATACAAATGCGTACGTATCATTTCAGTCAAACTTGAGAATGTACGCACGCGATAGAAAAGCGTACGTATCATTTCCGTATCCCTGAGTGAAATCTGAGAACATTCGCACGTGAAAGAAAACCGAATGATACTATAAGTGACGTTCTAGCGTTCAACTTAGTACGTCACAGATAATCACAGTACAATGAGTACGAAAATGGGATGATACGCAGTACGTCGCGTGCTGTTAGGGTTCGCACATGTAAAAGTACAGTATTTTATTAACATGATGGAAAAATGTCATTATCTATTGTTTTATTGCAGTAATTTTCTATACAGTCCTTGGTAGAAAATTAATTTCGAATTATCGTGCCGGTCTCTCTTACATTATTTATACGCTAAACGGTTTCGTCTATATTTTGCGGTTTAAAAGGCGAACAAACTATAAAATTTTTCTTCCTTAAACTTTAAGTGGGCAATACAAAGCGCTTTTCATTAAGTGAGGAATTGGCGTAGTGTCTAAGGCGACGGACGATTATCCAAAAGATGTCTTCAGTTCAAGTTCGAATCTCACCAGAGAAAATCTTAAAAATGATGAAAAAATAATATAGAAGAACTTTTTTTTCATAGTATTATATGAGTATTTATGAGAAAGCGCTTATTCTATGAGTAATTATGAAAAATCATGAGAAAATTTAATTGAAGAACCTAAGAAATGACAGGATCTGCGCGCAATCTGCTGTCAGAATCTGTTCGCAGACCCTGTCAACAGTCTGGCGGCAGATTGGGGGCACAGATGTCTATGGATCTGTCGACAGATCCTGCTAGGATTCAACAGATCCTGTCGACAGTCTGACGTCAGTCTGCGCGCAAATTGCTTACTGGGTAATTATATATGAAAAATTTTTCATATATAATTACCCAGTAAGCAATTTGCGCGCAGACTGACGTCAGACTGTCGACAGGATCTGTTGAATCCTAGCAGGATCTGTCGACAGATCCTGCTAGGATTCAACAGATCCTGTCGACAGTCTGACGTCAGTCTGCGCGCAAATTGCTTACTGGGTAATTATATATGAAAAATTTTTCATCGGGTAGAGGCGTCTATTCTGACGTGAGCTGTATAATAAATATTTTACACAGCACGTAATATTGCAGAAATATTGCAGTGATATTGCAATATAGTGGTAATATTACATATCACAGTGAAATATTACAGAAATATTATTGAAATATTGCACCTTTACATATGTCATTGAAATATTACAGAAATATTACTGCAGTATTACATACTCATATCATTGAAATATTACACATTTATATCATTGAAATATTACACTTATATATTTGCAATATTATAGTTAAATTATAGCAATATATCAAATTCTAAATAGAATGGTGACATCAATTGACATATCAATTTCTTTGACATTATAGACATCATTAAAACGTTATTACGGCGTCATTTGAAGTCACCTTCCCTTACAGAAATAGTATTTTTTAAAAGTTTCTTTTAAAATTTAGTATTTCGATTTGTTTAATTTGAATTTTCTTGGATTTTTTAATTTTTTTTTGTTTGGATTAATCATTATAACATTTTGTTAAAAATCTAAAAGTAATTATCACTGGTTCACTACATTGGAAGCGGTGCACTTGGACACGGTGCATTTGGACACAGCCAATCACAGCACCGTGTGATTAGAGACATTTGTAGGGTCCCTTGGAACAGCGACTTGTGATTGGACTGTGTCCAATTGCCCCGTGTCCAACTGATATACACCCCACTACATTACATCAATTTATCGCATATCGAATGTTGTTGCATTGCTTCAATATCTATCAGCAAATTATCCAACAAAAACTAAGTAAAAATTATATAACTATCATTTGATGTTTGCAAAGTATATTATAATGTACTGTGAACACTATAAGAATACATTATATATAAGCATGAATTGTAAGAACATTGTTGGAGTCATCAGAGTCACGCGTACGCGCTCGATCGTCAGGTTAAGCAAGAGTTTAATGCGTTCAAGGACATGGGTGATGACTAAGTGGTATTCTGCTTGGGATCGAAATTATCGCTGGAGGATTTCACGAAAGTTTGGAGTGTATTTGACAATCTTCGATACGTAGTAGTTTATGAAACATGAGAAAACTAGGAATATATAAGTATATTTTTTTAAATATTATGATTTTCTTACAATAATATCATTGTTATATTGCATTGGCATAATTTTCACCATTATATTACTGTGATGCATTTGCCGCGGACATTTTAATATTATTGTGATATCTTAGTAATATTCCAGCATTATTTCTGTTATATTCCCTGGTAATATTGCAATGAAAATATAATATTGCTGTGATATTTCTGCGATATTACGTGCTGTGTGGGATAGTAGATGTACATTGGAATGTTATTGTTTTGAATAGTGTGTAAAACCAGAAGCGTCTATTCTGACGTGAGCTGTATAATAAATATTGTATATATTGTATATTCGATGTGATGTAATTGTTAGGACTAATATGTAAAACCAGAGATATCTATTCTGACGTGAGCTGGTGAGTAATAAATATTGTGGACCTATATTGTAATACCCTTATAGAAATGTCATACTAAGAATCATTGATAATTACTTATTTTCAGTATTAAAAATACTGGATAATAAGTAATTATCAATGATTCTTAGTATGATATTTCTATAAGGGTATAATGTACTGTTTAGAATATAATATAATAGAATATAATAAGTAAAAGCAAAGGCGTCTATTCTGACGTGAGCTGCTTAGTAATAAATATGTGGGTCTATATTGTAACATAATGAATTACATAGAATAATGAAAGCAAAGGTGGTTATTTAAACCTAAACTGCTTTCAATTGAATTTGTAGACATGTATTTCAATGTTAAAACATAAAATACTATTTGATACCGCAGATATCTCCTTTGGCATTGTCACACCCAGATAGCATAGAGATGAACAGAAGTTCCTAGAAAATTCATTTTAAAGAATAGATATAGAATTAGAAAAATGAATACCCGAAGAATTCTTGAAGAATTAACCACAGTAAGTTCGTCTTGAAATATTCCTTAGGACTTTATTATAGTGAATACTTCGCAACTTAATTCCTAAAACACTTTGAGAATTCATTAGGAATTAGGGCTAAGGCAGAGAACGAAATGTAAACGTCGTAGACATAAAGTAAGGCAGAGAAAAACGTAAGCGTAAGGCTAATAGCCTTTCA